CATTTTGTTATGCTAATGGCGTTGCTTAAGAATATTCAAGTTATGTACTAACCTCTCCCAACTCCTATCCTACATCCTAATTAAGGATGGAGAGCACTTAAATCTATTATAGGTAACTCAGAGGAGAAACTAATTTAATTCACTGACAAACGGAGCTAATCACCAGGGGAAGAAAAACTGCTGGTACAGGCTCCCAAAATATTAATTCACTACTGTATTCACTACTGTCATACCTACCTGCAAAACACCAAGGGAAGAATAAATTTTTCCCCTTACTAATATGATTTTTTACATGCTGGCTTCTATAGGTTATATTAGTGCTAAATTGTAGGAATACATTTTGCAAATATTGTCAGCAAGAAGATTCCATTTAGCAACAAAGCAGCTGTTAAGTCATACTAGAATAAAAAAAAACTAGTAAAAAACCATAACAACAAATTTGTTTTAGAAGATGTAAGGTTTGTGACTCTAACCTGTTCCTATCAGATGGCAAGATGGCTTGATTTGTTAAGGCATGAAGGATGCCCTGGTTGACAAAATTTGCACCATCATTTCCTGACTGCACTGAAGAGACAGATTCTGTTTTAGGACATTAAAAATCTAATTTATGTTTTTGCTTCTGTGACTACTGTGACATGAAGCAGTTTATTGTTCTCTTCCCATGCATGCCTCCAAATAGACAATAACCTTTTTAGGAAGAAGTCGGAGATAAAGATACATCTACAGCTGACTCATGAGGACATGTTTTGTGAGGGGGTAATGCTTCTTGCTTTAATAGTCTGACTTACTTTAATAGGTCATTTAATCTTAATGGTGTCCCAGTGTAGCTATTAACTATTTAATGAAGAAAGCAGATGAGTAAGGTGGAGTGAAAGGCTTTCTGTGGTCCTTGCCCTGAAGAATAACATCACATCCTCATGTCCTCTCTAGTTTTGTTCTTGTTGGTTTTGGTTTGGTTTGGTTTGTTTGTTTTTGTGAAGTACCAGTACTTAATGACTCTTGTCTTCCTATTAGAAAACAGCCACAAACAGGCACAACTAGATATTTCTGGTAGAATCAGACTTGTTAGCACTAAGATGAAGGTGGCACTTTTAAACTTCAGAATTTATATTGCATGTGTATTGAAGCTAGTAGATTCTGAGCATCACTGTCTTATTCAGCTGTTTGATTTTTGTTTACACGGAGACAGTGTTGGAAACAGCACACACACAGACAGTAAGAGTCTAAAAATTCCAGTCATCTAAAGTCACTGTTTCCATGTGGCTTCCTTGCAAATTACTTTAGAGACATATGAGATACTAAAATTAGTTGTAAAGTTAACTCATGATCATGATAGTATCAGCTATTTAGTTGAAGAGGAGCACCAATAAATGAACAAATTTTTCTTTCTCTGAGACAAATCACTACACCTGCAAGTAGAAAGTCTCCCTCCTACATGTCAAAAGCCCATTCCCGTGTGAAGGCCTCAGTATATAAATTACATATATTTAATCTGAATTGTTTGGCTAGTAAAATACTTCTGATGCAATTGTTTTAGAGTCACAATTAAAAGACAAATAAAGGGAAGGTTTTTTATCTATACTGGAAACAAAAGTATCATTTTCACAAACTTTGTATTACCTTGAGAGTTGTTCCTACTTATATTGAAAGGCCAATACCATAAAAGGGTATGATCACAGAGCCAATGGATAAAGACAATGCAATGGGAAAGGGCCAGTTTAGTTTCTGTGAAGGGAGATAGTGACACAATCACGGACTTCCAGCAGGTTTGTGAGTCAGGAAGTGCATGGACAAGCACAAACCAGGGAACATAGTTGTATTTTAAAAGAGCATTTGTGCAGCTTTCTTACTAAAAGCTGTCAAACAAAATTTTCATGGAATTCAAGTAAATGTCTTGTGCTGAGTTGGAGATATGGTTGAAGGATGGAAGCAGAGAGTACTTTTCGTTGCTTTCTTAGGTAAAGTCAGAAAATCTCTCTCCCAAAAATGTTTGAGCTTACTTATGTTGTTTTATGCAACAATCTTTGATTTTCATCAATGACCCAGAAAAGGGAATGCACATGGAATGATACTTGCATGATGTTAAACTCTTAGGTAATCAGATGTTGTGCTGGTGTAAAGAATTCTGGAAGGCCTGACAAAAGGGGATGGGTAAAAAGATAGGCTTTAAGAAGGAGATCGGTGTAAGGTAAAGCATAAAACCTGTCAAACCTGGAAGTCTAAGTTAATGAAATCTTGAAGTTGCTGATGTCAGCTCTCTGAAATTTTTGACTGAAACTACAACAGCACCTCCCCCCCCCCAAAAAAAAAACAACGAAAAAACCAAACTCTAAACAACAGAGGCGTAAGGTGTCATCAGGAATTGTATTGAGAGCAAGATAGAAGGCAGTTCACTGCTCTGAGGGAAATCTTAGTATACTCCTATCCTGTGTACAGTGCACAGTTCTGGTCTACAAGGACACAACAAATTTAAAAAATTAACTGAGGAAGATAATTAAAATTATTCAAGGGGAGAGATTGTCAATCTGATAAAGTAGGGACTAAAAGGCCCTTGTCACTGCAGTCTTCTGTTTTCACACAATGTTTTTACAGACAGAAGGCTGTGAAAATAATACTGCTGTGCAAGGGTGTTCTTTGACTATGTTCATCATTGTCACTTGAACACTGAGGTGTGGAAAGTGTCTTCAGTACACACTTAAGACTTGAGCACAAGTCTTATGGAGAGTGACTGAGGGAGCTGGGCTTGTTTAGTCTGGGCAAAAGGAGGCTGCTCTCGGGCTGCTCGGGGGTCTTATTGCTCTCTACAGCTACCTAGAAGGATGTTGTAGTAAGGAGGACATCACTCTGTTCTTTCAAGTAACAAGTAGTAGGACAAGAGAAAATGGTTGTGCCAGTGGAGGTTTAGGATATTAGGAAAAATTTCTTCACTGAAAGGGTGGTCAAGCACTGGAACAGGCTGTCTGGGGAAGTGGTGGTATCACCATCCCTAGAGGTATTTAGAAGATATGTAAGTTAGTGGTGGACTTAGAAGTGCAGGGTCAATGGTTGGGCACAGAGATCTTAAAGGCCTTCTTCAACCTTAAATTATTCTATTATTCTGTGTAAAAGATCTGGTCTTGGAAGTTCTGTGGCGCTGACATTCCCCTTAAATCCTACTGCAAGCAAAATATTTATTTTGCACAAATATTTTTAATCTTTCTCAACTCTACAGTTTCTCTAAGTAACACAACTTGCCTACACTTCCAGGAGGTGACAAATCCCCTAAAATTTAGCTAGGCTGCTTAGAGTCACCATTTCCATGAGAGACACAACATTTCTCGTGGGGAAGGCTGAGCCTGCCCTCGGGACACAGCCAGGGCTGGCACAGCTTGCACTGTGCAGCTCTTTCCCGCATGTTGCCCTCTCCGGCAGGCAGAGCTCTGCCTCCTGGCTCTTTCCAAGGCGGTGAGCGCGGGTGAGCGAGCGGCGGTGGCGGACGGGCTCCCTCCGCAGGGCCGCCAGCGCTACTGCGGAACCCAGACGGGGTGGGAAAAGGGCGAGCGAAGAGTCACCTCTAAAATGCCGATTCCCAAAGTCGTGAAGGGTCTCGGTGCAGGCGGGAAACAATGGCGGGCGTGCCTGGGGAAGATCCCGTTATTTAGCGCCCTGTCCCACTCCGAGAAGGGCGTGGGACACTCTTGCCTCCGTCCGCCGCTCCTTGCGACCTGGTCAGGCACTGGAAGTGGTGCTGCTGTGACCTGCTCCATCAGAAAAACGGAGCAAAATGTTTGCGTACGGAGCATCTCAGCGCACTGGTTACTTTCACAGTCGTAGGCTGGGTTTTGCAATTTTAATAGCTGTATTAAGAGAGTTTAAAGAGTGTGTTTCAGCTTTCTGCTGCTTTGTAAGTATTCCTGCACGTATCTACCAGTGCTCTACTGGGAAAGGATGTGTTCCCCAACCTAAGGCTTTATGCTCGGTGAACCCAGATAGACAGCAATGGGGGAATTGAGGGGAAATTGTTCAACCTGCATCAGAAAGTTATAGCTTGACTTCAAGTCCAGGATCCTTCCCAATACAGAAATGTCAGACAAACTTTCCTCTCTTTTATGTCTCTACTTTTTATTTATTTATTTATTTATTTATTTATTTATTTAAGTTATTTTTTTCCCCCAGAAGGAATGGATCAAATATAAGTCACCGAGGGGAAAAAAAACCCCACAAACAAGGGGAGTTTTAGGGCCTGAAAAGTGATTTGTATGTAATAGTTCTGGTTGGGCTGATGTAGTCTGTATTGGACAATGAGGTAGGTCAGGAGCGAATGAAGATAGGGCAGCATCCTGGTTACAATGTATTAGCAAGTTCAGAAAGCTTGAGGGGACTTTCTGGAAGGTTTAAACTCCTAGTTACAATGTCTTGGCTAACAGTCGGTCGAAGTGTTTCTCACACCAGACAAAACCGTGGGTATATTTCAGCAGATCTGTTAAGTGTGATTTGTGTTTTTTAAATCATAAGCCTCTAAACACTTACATGCGGTCCTAATGTGCCAGGAGAAAGTCCTTCTCTCAGTATGTGGTCGGGCCGTGGAATAGGCTCCCCAGGGAAGTGGTCACAGCACCAAGCCTGACAGACTTCAAGAAGAGCCTGGACAATCCCCTCAGGCACACGGTGTGATTCTTGTGCAGGGCCAGGAGTTGTACTCCATGATCCTCGTGGGTCCCTTCCAACTCATTCTATGATTCTACAATAAATGAAGCCTTCTAGCTGAAGCGGTGAGAAGCCACATTGCTTTTCTGTTTGCGTTTTCCTGTAAGGGCAGCCCTCAAACTCTTGCACTGGTTGAAGCAGGAGCAAAGGGCTAGATGAGTGACTTATGCTACTTTTTCTGCTCTTTCTCCGCAGGTAAGCGACTTTATTTCTTATTTTTCACAACAATCCTTTAATAATTCGTCGTTTTGGGGAAGTTCTTGCCTCAGTCGCCCGCAGAGCGCGCACCAGCGGGAGCCGGCCCGGGCCCATCCTCAGCCCCTCTCGGGCCGGGCCGCGGGCTGTGGGTGCTGCCCGCGAGGGCCGGCAGGGGGCGCTGCTGCCCCGCGCTGGCCGCGCTCGCTCCCCTCGGCGGTTCGATTGGAGCAGCCGGAGACGAGTTGGCGCCATTTTGAAGCCGGCAGGGGGACCGGGGCGAGCTGCGGAAGGGGAGGGGGCTGGCGGCGATTGGCTGCGGCGGCGGCGGCGGCAGCGCCTCTCCGAGCCCGGAGCGGCGGCAGCGCGGAGCGGACCCGCCTGCGACCAGCGAGGCGAGGCGGCTGCGGCGGGGTAAGGAGCGCGGCACCTCGGCCGCGGATACCCCCACCCTGTCCCCGCTCCATTTTCTCTTCCCGGGGGCGTGGGGGGCGCCCGCCCGGACCGAGCTCCGCGGCCAGCTCTGGAGGAGGACGGGGAGTGGAGGGGGAGCGGGAGTGCAGAGCTCCCCTTGGCCCGTGGTGGAGCTCCCCCTTCCCATCCCCCTCGCCCCTCCGCGGGGCTGCTCCCCTCCCCCCTTTTCCGTGGCTGCCGTCAAATACTAAATTTTCACCCCCTTCCCGCCCGGCACCCCGGGCGATGGGGTGACCTTGGCTGGTGTGCGCGGGGCCCCGGGGGTCACCCCCTTGTCCCGGTGGCCCGGCGGGCGGTGTCGCGCTCAGCGCCGGTGGCTCCTCGCGGCGCGAAGTGGCGGGGGGGTGGGGGGGCGGGGAGGCTGCCCGCCCGTGGCTGTGAGTGAGTGATCGCGGCTTCCCGGGTGTCCCTTTCCTCCCTGCCTCGGGCGTCCCCTCCCTCCCTCCCTGCCTGCCTCGGGCAGCCGGCCTGGTCCCCGCTCCGCGGGGCAGCACAGGGCTCCCGCCGGCCCGCGCGGCTGCTGCCCAGGCTGAGCGCGGGGACATCCCCGTCCCCTCCCCTCCCCGCCCGGTTCGCTCTCTCCGCGCCGCACTTCGCAGTGCTCCTCAGCGGGAAGAGCTGCCGGGAACCGCGGTTTGGTGGGTCCCTACTTATGTGCGATCCCGGTTCTTTCATGCTGGCTTAGCTTTTTTTTTTCTCCCCCCTTCCTTTCCTTCTCTTTCTTTTTCCCTCCCACTTTGCATCAGGCTCTGTTAGAAAGCGCTCGAGAAGGGAGGACGGGGGGAACAGCGGGGGGGGGGGGGGGGGGGGGGCGAAGCGGGGGGGGGGGGGGGGGGGGGGGGGCTGTTGCCGCCGCCTGGTAGATGGAAAACTATGAATTTTACATCTGAATTGCCAGATGGAGAATGGTTAATTTATAGGTTATGTATTGTTTACATTGAGAGCCTCCGGTCAGGAATTTAGGTCCGTAACTTCATTCTGCTGCAAATAAATCACTATCTGTTCTTCAAAACAAATCAACAATTAATGACGGTGAACAGTCCTGGAAAATTAAACTGCAGCAGACCAGCTCCTGCAGAGCTGGATTTTGTCTTGCCAGCCTTGTTCTGACTTTTATGCCTGCTTGCTGCGCGGTTGCTTTCTGAGAGCTGTGATTATTTAGTTAGGCGTTGTGTTTTCCCATTTAACACAACTGCTGAAGCGTTCTCGTGTTGGTCTTTGTTTTGTGCTTGCCGGGTAGGTGCTTTGGCTGTAATTGATTTCTCTTCGCTCGGGATGGAGTAGAAGGATCGTTGAAAATTTAAGTGGCTTTATAGTTGAAAACGAGTGTCACATCACGTTTTCGGAAGGGAGTAAGACGACATGCATTCTTTCAGGTTTTCCCCTTCTAGTGGAAACAACTAGTGGAATTGTTCAATTTTCAGGTGATAGAAATTTTGCCTGGTATGTTTTATATTACTATGTGTATATATATATATATATATATATATATGCTAGATACTGTACTGTGTAAAGTAACTCCTCAAAGAGAAGTGAAAGCTGAATGTATGCCATGCTCAGACCACCTGAAAGAAGACTGACAGTGACAGGCTGTCAGGTAAGGTGGTTTAGCAGAGGTGTGTGCTGTGTTCATCACAGCCTTTGAAAGGGTGCACTGCTGGAGAAAGTAGTTTAGTACTTTAGCACTTGCATGACATCTTGTGTCTGTGTCTGAAGCAAGGTTGAACTTAATTACTGTAGGGTTGGGGGGTGTGATGTGTCTGGGTGTGGTATTTTGTGTGGGATTTTTTATATAGGTTCTGTATTGGAATATTTGCCTATGTGTTTCTTGCATCCTCTTTACTAGTTAGTATACAGACTGGATAAACTACAGTTCAGTTTTTGATGAAAACAACTAAATAAATTAAAATGAAAGATCATATGTTTAGGACTTGTAAGCAACTTCTTTTTTTTTCTTGTAAATATTGAATTTAGACTTTATCTGACACGCTTACTTATGGACTGAAATTGAGCAAGTCACCCAAGTCGTTATTAAGCTGTAATTAACCATATAAAAGCCAACAGTCATTGCTACCATTTGGAAAAGCACAGTAATGAAATATGGGCATAACCTCAGGCATTATCCATTTTTATCTGTAGAACAGGAGGTTCGATTACCTCCTGTAGATTGGGAGAGATGCATTTTCTTTTGGTATATGCTGCTCTCTAGCAGGCTTTCAGGTTATGCCTTTTTCCTCTTTTTTTCTTCAGTCTCACAATTTATAGTCATACAGAAGAGTAAGAGGGTGTATGTGTAGGTATGGCTATGAGTCTTCTGGTTTAGTAAAGGATTTTCATTTAAAGTTTGGAGTTAATGTTTTTTGGGGTTTTTTTTCTTTAAACCTGAATTGGGAGAGGCGATATAGACTACTTGTTGCACAAGGAGAATTTTCATGGGAGCAACAAATAAGAAAATATGAAACAGTAAAAGCATGCAAAATTTGAGATGGAAGGAAAATGTGATACTGCAACTCATTATTTTTGCCTGTCAGTTTCACTCTAATATCCTAATCCCTTTATATTGCTTGCCCCAAATATTATGCCAAGAAAGAGGAAGGTATGTCTTTCTGATTGCCTTCAGAGAAGCTCCTTTTTAGAATCAAAAAGTAGTTCTGTCAGTATCATTCTCCTTTTAACAGATATCTAAAGTAATGGTGTTTTTACTCTTAGCACAAGATGTCAGTTCTGCCACTTGAAATAATCTTTGGATAGACTGAGAGAATATTGGAGGCTTTCAGTCAATTCTGAAACTAGGTGGTAAGGGAAAACTAAGGAAACTTCTAAAAAAGGTGTGTTAGTGTGGTAGTCCTTAGTGGTGAAGTGTGTTAATTTTCCAGATTTGTAGACCCTCTGGACTGTCTGAACAGCACTGACAGATCCTGGAAGGAGTCAAGTCTTTTAAATAATATAAAAGATACGCTTTTAAAAAAAGTCTTTTATTTCCCGCAGAGATTGAACATCTAAAAGTCAAGGCTGTGCATGTATATGAATTACATACCTATTGCTTTTCCATTGGTAGCCTCTTCAGTTGAATGTAGCCTTGTAAAAAAGGTGAGGTGTTTTTTATTTGCTTTGCACTGTTACTGAGAACAGAACTTAATACAGTTCTGTAAAGTAAAAACAAGAAAAAATATATGAAAAGTGAAGTGTATGAATGAAAATTAACTTTATTATTTTAGGAAGTTAGTGGTTTGTTTCAAAACCTCTTTGGAACATTAAGGATTCCACAATAAAAAAAGCTGTTTATGCAAATATTTGCTGTAACAAATCCAACTTGAAAGAATTCAGTGAAATACAAGTAATATTTCTGTTTCATTTTTAGGAATCAAAATGTTAACACCTCCATTTTTTTAAAGGTTATTACCGTCTATCTCAATGTATACTGCTTTTCAGCCTTTTCTGAAGTGTGGAGAAGTCCTTGAAGTAGGTTCTGAGGATTTAGACTGCTATTACTTTGTCCCCATCTGTGGAATTTACTCTTTTGCATCCTACCCCAAGCATTGGAAAAACATTCTGCTTGTTTAGTACCTGATCTTTGGTTCTGTTTTTTCAGCTCACAACAACTTTGGTATTAATATGCTTCAAGAAATAATAATAAAAAAGCACCATACTTCATTGGGAACAGATGGGTATGTTTGTACTAATCATCTTGTCTGTCACCATTTATTTGGGAGTACCATAACCAGGGATCAGGACCCCATCTGGGGTTTTCTAATTCAGACCCCGTTCTTTAAAGATCGATTTGAGACAATACTAACTGTGTGTACTTTGACTTAATTAGGAATCCTGGTGAATGTTTCTGCTGCTGAAATTAGATGCTTCACTTTCATGCTTTTTAATGGACAAAAAAAGACATGAAGTTAGCAGTCACAAATGTTATTGTCTTAATTGCTTCATTGTAGTCACCTAAACTACATTTTCACAGAACATAGAATGGCCTGGGTTGGAAGGGACCATAAGGATTATATAGTTCCAATTGCCCTGCCATGGACAGGGAACCTTCTGCTATAACAGGTTGATCATTTCCCCATCCAACCTGTCCTTAAACACTTCCAAGGATGGGCCATCCACAAACTCTCTGGGCAACCTTTTCCATGGTCTCACTACCCTCAGAGTAAAGAACTTTTCCCCAGTATCTAATCTAAAACTATTCCCAGTTTGAAGCCAATCCCTGTTGTCCTGTCACTACATGCTCTTGTGAAAAGTCCATCCATCTTTCTTGTAGGGTCCCTTCATGTACTGGAAGGTTATAGTTAGGTCAGCCTGAAATCTTCAGGCTGAACAATCCCAATTGTCTCAGCCTTTCCTTATGGGAGAGCTGTTCCATACCTCTAATCAGCTTTGTGTCCCTCCTCTGGACTTGCTGCCTGATGTCCTTCCTGTACTGGGGACAGGAATCTGTAGCTCTTTTAAAGAGTATTTGGTTCAGCTAATATGTGATAACTTAGGAAGTGACTCTTGAGAAGCTGGCTGTCCACAGCTTCTGCCAGAACAGCCTTTGGTTCTCTCTGAGACATCCCAGTATATCCACATTGTAGCTCACTTCAATGTCAAAAGCCTTAATCCTGAAATTCTTAGAAAGAAAGGGAACTTCCAGATAAAAAACTACCAAAAGGAAAAAATCCAACCAACCAAAAACCTAAAAGTTACCCACAGTAAGTAGAAACATACTGCTTGTGAGGAAGTCCTGAAAAAAAACTTACATCAAAACTTCCTTTATGTAATCTTTGGGCCACCTTGAGCTTGACTGTTCACTTCTGTTAGTATTGCTTTGTTACTTAGATGTACATTCCTATGAAGACAATCAGATTTCTAGGAACTCATAGTCACCACATATATTAGGTTTTTGTTCTTAACAAAAAAAGGATTTAATTGTTGTCAGCTATGAGAATTGAGCAGAAGACACTTCATGGAAACTTGTAATTGCATTTAGTGATTTATTAAAATTTTTTTTCTGCATCTGCCTGCATAAAATTTTCAAGATTTTTCTTGGGGAAAAGGTACAGAGATGCTAGGCAGCATGCCATTAGGTATGATACTTTCTCTAATAATTTTGTTGATTTTGTTACTTGGAAGTTCAGGATGAGGCATTATGTGTAGTTCCCGAACACAGAAACAAAGTGTATGGAAGTAACTGTAGCTTTTTGTGTCATCACTTGGTGAAAACTTTTGTGAGGGACAATATCTTTGGACAGTCCAGTGCCACCCAGTGCTTTTCAAAAGTCTAAGCGAGACAAATTCACTTAATTCATGATACAAAATAAAGTTTATATTTACTTTTCTTCCTATGAGTCTGAGGGGCAGAATAAGACTATAACTTTTGCTTTCCTGGGTTTTCAAAATGGAAGAAAGAATAGATAAGCCAACGATAAACTCTTTAAAAGAGTTGAGTAAGTTTGTCAAAGAGACGACAGGAGATGCATTTCATCTTTCATTTGCCCAACTTGAATCATGCAGTTTGTAGTTCCTTCAGTTGCAGAAATGCTTCCAAGGACTAAGAAAAGAG